CATGCACCAAATAACCGATTACATGAAAGGGTAACCGATTACTGTAAGATGGGTATATATTAAACAAATCGAAAACACTCCACCACAGTTTGCTTTACACTGTGCATACACGAGAATGCTTAGGTTGGCGTGGAGGCGTGGGCACTGAAATATTCCTGAGCTACGGAGAGCTGTTGCTACGGTGCTTCATACACGCATTGAACAGGAAAGATTCATGCAGCCACACAGTGAAAGTGCATAGTGCCATTGACCCGAGAATTGATATGTGGTTGGTTGTGGGTGGTTCATGTTATTTATTGAGGGGTAACAAGCTTACTACACTGCTTGATACTGCTGTTTAGTTGTGTGCGAAGAGATAGTGGTACGCTGTGTTAGCTCAGACGAGGAAGAGAAGAAGGATTTGCTCAGACGAAGAAGAGAAAGTGGTTAGGTTAGTAACATACCAAAATGGATTATGACATGCGTATATTGTTGGTTTTGATTTGCAGGGTTGTAAGGAGGAGGAAGAAGGACGTTGTGCGTGTTGGTGGAATGCACCAGGTGGTTGTTGAATCAGTGGTGAAAGTGGATGGGCGTGTCTGAGAAGATGATGAACATTAGTCGTAACCGGTTACGGGTTTGGCTTTGCGGTTACGGTGCTCTGAAGGAATGTGTACATTTCTGTAATCGGTTACGTGAAGTGGTAACCGATTACAGACCTTGCTGCATATGCGTTTTTTGGAAGCTGGTGTATGTTGAAAGTTGAAGACCTGTCTAGAGAGGCGTCGTTGTGGATGGGTTATTAGTCCGAAAGCTATGGGGATGTTGTGAGGTGGATGTTGTGAGGTGGTCTTAGATCCGGGGTTGAGGGCCATTTCATAGAGGGTTAGGCAGTTTCCAGACAGCAAATACGTAGATAATGAGGACCTCATCCCTTTGTGGATGCACTCAAAGATGATAAGTAGTGTATGTTGGTCATTAATGGGCACCGGACCTGCTGCAATGCATGGAAGAGTGTTGAATGAACGTATTTGGTTGTTGCGCGAAGAAGAAGACAGACGTAAGTGCATGGTGGGTGGAAGACTATGAAATCTAACGGTGTGTTTTTGATGCAGGTGTTGACTGTGGTTGGACGTTGTGATCGTGGTGGAGGCGTAAAGTTTGTGGATATTGGGTAAGCTTAATATATGAAATGTTAGTTGACTTCAGTTATGTGCGATCATTCTTTAATGGGGCCGTTAACTAAACCCTTAACTAATATAGGAATTATATTTGTAGGTTTGAATGGAAGTTAGTGAAATTGGTTGTCTGATTTGACGAAAACAGCTTGTGGCACTCCTTTCTCTGGAAATCTCTAGCTCAAACCATATTGAAGTGTGCACCTTTCTCTGGAAATCTGTACCTCAAACCATATTGAAGTGTGCATTTACGTGTTGTTTGTCTTCAAGAGGTTAGTGTTTTACATGATTTTGGTTGTAATATATATATGTGAATGATTGAATCAGTGGTGCTTATGTGTCAATTTACTTGTATGAATGAAATATATTATGCACATTTATATTTGAATGTTATTTAGTATATGAATGTGTTAATTTTTGAAACATGGATATCATTTGTTATATGTATATGTATTTATTAAAAAAATTGTATGACAAGTTGATGTTGTGTGATGGTATTTTTTGTTGTTTATTTATAATGATTACTTGAATGTATTAATGTATATATCAAATATGTTTAATCATCTATTGTAATGCATGATTTTGATTGTAGTATGTGTAATTGTGTAAGTAAATATAGATGGAAGAATATATAGATTTATCATATTTGGACCGCGAAGATGTAGATGATGATGTGGTTGGTGTAGACTTCAAGATTATTGGAATGATACGTCAACACTTACAAATAACCACATCAGTAGCGGCAATCACAATGTTATGCATTGTTGGACACGCATTGAGTATATTGAATATGTACTCCAGTGATTCCAGTAGTGTACTACATTGAGTATATTGAATATGTACGCATTGAGTGTACTACACAATCCCTAAACATTTTAAAATATATTTATTTTACTACATTATAACTTTTATAATTTTTAAACAATATTTTTAACAATTATTAATAATTTTTTTTCTCTTTATAAACTTTTTTACAATTAAATATAACATTACAAAATAACATTTTATAATACTTTTATAAGAAGGGCAATTTGGTAATCTATATTTTCTACCAATTAAACTAATTTTTAAAATCAATCAAATCCTACACTAATTCTCACAAACTTTCCTTCCAAATCCACTCTCAATTAACCTCAAATCCACTCAAAAAAACAACAAAAAAATTACCCTCAAATCCACTCAAATCCACTCAAATCATCTCCCCCAAATCATCTCCCTTAAATCCCTTAAAAAGAACACAGCCTAAGTGTGATTATTAGAGTGATTACATATTTCCTAGAGAATACTAGTTGTATTTATAAGATTAACATGAGTTGTAGATCTATGTTGTGATATTAAATAATATCATTGAAATAATACTTACCTCGAATAAATAACAATAACAAAATAATACCTTAGATAAATAATAACAATAATATCAAACTTATGAGATTAACTATGATTGCGTAAATATGTTAATATTCTTTCAATAACTAATCTCATTGAATCTTGTTCTTTAATATATATATATATATATATATATATATATATGACCTACATACACTTCTTAACAACCATAATCATTATTATGACCAAACCAATAAACACCAAAATTAAACATACATTTAATTATAAAGAATACTAGTAAAATTAAGAGTATACATTTTTAACAAAAATGAAAAAAATATAAACCGTATCATTTTCTATTTAGTTAAAGAAATTAAACATATATAATTGGTAAAAACAAAAATAATATTTTTTTCATAAATGGATCTTAAACCAATCATGTATTCATTCTTTGTTTTGTGAATATTAGTTTCATTGTATATATAAAGATTTTACTATGAGTAGAAATTGAATATATATTAAGAAATTTACAAAAATTTAAACACTTTCCTTAACTAATTGAACTAGACATGCTTGATTATTGAGGTATGTAAATATAGACATGCTTAGTTATTAAAGTATGTAAACAAAGAAATAAGAATAACTTAATAGTTAGAAGAGAAGGAAAGAGAGATTATGGTTCAACTTTTTTTTTTTTAAGATATAAGGTTAGTTTCATAGATTTGAAAAAAAAAATATGTTGTGAATTCAACTTTTTTATTAACAAATATTAAAAAAAATATATTCCATAAAATATTATATTTTAAAATTACTTTTTTATACTACTTTTTAATTTTTTAAAGAACATATTAATGCATTTTAATATTTAAATAATACATTACTATATTATAATTATTTAAAATAATATACCTTATATCTATAAAATTATTAATATTTAAAAATACGATGTCGCAATAAGTTTACTCAAAACATAACTGTTCATTGGATTCTCATATGGTCCTTAGTTGGATATGGGAGTCAATATTAGTACAAGGTGTGGGACCCAACTCTTCACTATTGCGACAAGACAATAGAAACATCCACCTGCAACAATGCAATAGTTTAACTTTATTTTATTAAATATAAAAAGTTCAATAAACAACGCAGAGTTATTTGTTTAAGATAATTAAAAACTACAATTAATGTAAATTTAATTTTTTATTTTAAATATATTCAAATAAACTAAAAATGCTCAACATTTATTCAAATAGTATGCTCTTTAAATAATTTGTTCAGTTAAATTTATTCTAGAGATTAAAATTATTAAATATTTACACTTAGTTAAAAACAATTCTAAAGCATTTTCAAATATATTAAAATATTTATATTCAAGCATCCATTTAGTTTATTAGATCTTATATACAAACATAGTTATTGGTTTAGTATCTTTAATTTATACCTTAATAAAAATAATGTTTATCAAATTCAATTTATAATTTATCTTTAATTATCTTATATTTATCTTTTTTGTTTAAATTTGAACGATTACGATATTTAAACTAAATAAAAAAGTATAAATGTCAACTTATTAAAATAATTAAAGAAAGATACCTCTGTATTTTAAAAGTAAATGAAATTTAAGTATTTAACATGTAAGTAGATACACGTATAATCAGTAAAGAAATATTCTAATTATATAGAAAAGCACAATGTTAATAGAAATTGACATAAAAAAAACAGAAACGGGCGGGCGCCGAAATTACAGAATCTGTCGTGAACAGGATCATCTCATCCCAAATCTTGAAAATTAAACTAATCCTACTTATCAAAACATAATGTCACCCTAGAAGTTACACACCATCGACAAAAAAATAAAATTCCTCATCTTCTATAGTTTTATTCGTCTCATATGGATAAAATATTACGATAACTCCACCAACTTCTTACTCTTCAAATTTCTGGCACAAGTCATAAATCTGTAATTTAAGAACCATCCTCAATACATTCAAATTTTGTATGCTATTCACACCTACCACACTTTCGACAAATTTCGGTACCCGTATAAGAGAATATATGTAACTACAATTTCTCATAAATAAAAATATTATTTTATAAACATAAATTAATTAAAACAAAAATTTATAAACAGTTTTTTTTTCAATTTTAAAGATTTTATATAAGTAGAATTGATATTAAATTCTTGTAAATGAGTATTTTATAACGAAAATTGAAAAATTAATTAAATAAATGGAAAAGCTGCACGGGGTTCTGTGCTTTGTCTCCCGCTGCCACCTTCCAAGTAAAGAATGGTAGTAGTACATTCCTCTTCACCTAGCACTAAAATATTTCCTTTTAAAAACATAATTAATTAAAATTAAAATTAATATTAAAAATGGTATGGTAGGACTACTTTCCTCTCCTTCACCATGCACTAAATATATTTCCCTTTAAAAACATAAATAATTAAAAATAAAATAAATTATAATTTTTTAATTACAGTTTAAGCCAAAACCCCTCATAAACAGAAGCCTGCCAGTTCTCTCTCACTGTTACTGAGCTATCTCTCTGTGAGCTCAAAAGAAACGGATTCTTCGTTGTTGGGATTAGATTCGGAGCTCCGAACCCGCATTGCACTCAGTTCACCTACTAAACGACACCGTAGAGAAACAGATAGTGTCAGTGTGTGTGAAAGAGGTAATGTCGATGACGATGGTGATGGAGGAAGACGAAGACGCAGAAATAGAGCACGTTTTCGTTGCTCATGAAATCGATCTCGATTACGAGTTCGACGCTGCTCGGTTCTTCGATTTCACTCGACCGGAGACTCCAGCGGAAGCTCTCCAAGCTGAGCTTTGGTTTCAAACTGCTGCTAGTTACCCTCCTTTGCGTTAGTATCCTTCTCTTTCTAACACGCATGTCAAATATTTACATGAAGCGTTTCGTTTCCACATTTTTCGTTTGCCACATTCTGCCAAATTGTTTTCTATATTCGTTTTTTCTTTTTATTTTCGTTCTTTTCGGTCTACACCCTCTTTTCTGCTGTTCTTGCTGAAATTACGCAATCTGTGTTGTTGTTTCTTGGCTTCAGCGTTTGTTAGAAGGCTGGTTGTGAGAGAGGATTTGTTCTTGGACGACGTTAGCGATTCGCCAAAATCCGAAGGCCTGGACTGCACGAGTAATGTTGATGATGAAAAATCCAGTGTTCCGTTACAGACGGGAATTTTGGACACGGCTTTTGAAGATAATGGTATGCCTCAACCATTTTACTTTCTTTAATGCCGTTTACCTTGTTCTACTGACTTTTCTCTATCTTTATGCAACTCTCATTCTCACTGAAAGTTGTCCAAAACGACGTCGCAATCAACTTGCTTTTGTATATTTGTATATTCTACTTGTCTTCCCAGTGTTTCCTTTTGCCTGATGAATTTTTCAATTTCTATTATTATTTACACCTTAGGTGATCCGATTAAGAAGTCATTAGTTGTTACACTGATATTTTGTTTACTACAGCTTCAACATTGGGGAATAATCATTTATCTTCATGAAACTCTCTTGTCAAACTAGCAAAAATAATTTATGATTTCTCTTAAATAAATTGGACCGAACACACTATGTAGTTTATGTATTGTTTTTGTTAATGTGAATAAAAAAGAATGGAAATTGGGAAGCTTAGTTTTCTGGCCCTGGGATGTTCTGTATTTAGATCCGCCTTTGTTGGGTAGGGTGTCTCTGTTGGTAATCATGTGGACCTATGTGCATTAAAATGTTCCGTGTTCTATCTGCTAGTTGAAGTGGAACCATTGAAAGTCATTGTTGTTGAATGTGAACACATTTTCCACCGCCTGCTACTCAGCAGAAAGTAAAATTTTACCAGGCTTGTTTTGTACAAGCCTTAGCGTAATTTTTAAATTATCACACTCTTGTTGAGGTCCTTCTCAAATAACTGCAACAGTGACCTGTATGCAGTAGATATCTCTATTCCGCTCGAAGTGGTAAGTTGAAAACTCTATTATGTAATGGGCTTATACAGAGATACACTTGTTACATTCAAGCTTTCTGCGCTCATTACTTTCTCTTGACTTGTTGGTGATGCCATCTTCTGTAACTGTTAGGACCAAAAGCACTTAGTGGAAATATGTCTCATTTATTGGTTGGAATTCTACAAAATGACAGTACAAGACCACTACAAGAACTTTCAGGTAGCAATCTGATACAATACCATCATCCAGATGCTAATGAGGGCTGTAAATCTGCTCAGGGGCTTAGCATTTTATAATCCTTATTAATATGTGAACAAAAGTATCATCAATTGATTAGTTTCACGAATGCAGCTTTGGAGTTACCAGTTTCTTTCTAGAAATTAAATATACAATCTCAGGTGCTAATGATATTGTTTGACATATAATCCTGATTTATTTTGCAAGTGTCTCTTGTGCTATGGTTATTCTTGGTATGACTGTGATTTAATTTTTTCTAAGGATTAACTCTCCCCAAAGCTTAGGGTGGAGACAATGTGTGATCTCACCTTACCTTATTTAGTTATGAAAAATGATGGAGAAGGGATCAAGTTCCATACCACATAGTCATTTAGGCTTAACTATGTCAATAACCACTCTCCCAAAAGTTTAAGTTGTTAGATGGAAGTACTTGAGGGGTGTTATATCTTTAACACAAAATTATTTTTTCCGAGCTTCTGATGTTTACGATATTGCTTTTGCAATTCTCGCTCATTTTCTCTATATATCTTCCTTTTCCCTCTTTCATCCGTTCCAACTTATTCCTATTCTGCTTGAAAATTGCATTTGTGTCTTTTTCTAGGACTTACATTTGGCAGTAAGACAATCACCAACAATTTGAATTCTAAGGCTAAGTCTACCGTGTCAAAGAGTTCAACACTAATGAAACCTACCACCAGTCAATTGGCCAAGCAAAATCTCCCTGCTAAAAATGTTGGTTCAAGGTGAATATTAGAATAAATTTCCATTTTTCATATTTAAAGCGACATGGTTTTTTCTTTGGGCGTGAGGAATAGAATGGCCATTTGTTTTGAATGTACCATTCCATTGAGCGGTGAAATCACCAAATTGAGCGGGCATTTTATTCTCAATGAAGTCATATTGTTTAATAAGTATAGCTGTGGGAGTATTATTACTGTATATCTTTGATTTTTTCTTTTCTGAAAAAAACAACAGATAACCCTATATGTGCAACTCTTCCATTCTCAGATTTCAAAAGCTACTATTACAGAATGAACAAAATTTATCTATCTCTTCTGGGGTAGAAAGTCAAGCTTCCAAGAGGCAGAAACTAGAGGGCGGTCTCTTGTGTAAGGTCTGCAAGTTGCTCTATTCTTTCTTTTATAATTTTGCAATATTTAAAGAAACTGCCTTAAGATCTGTCTATGTGATCATAAATAGATGTATACCAGAAATTGATCATAAAGATGACTGTATAATACTGTGAAATGTTACGCAGTTTTTAGAAAGTGGCAAATGGTTCATCTTGAGAAACTTTTCCTAACCTTGTTACATTTGGATTGGATGTATCAAATTTCTCTAAGGAACTTAAGTGCTTGGTTGATATTTTTCATGGGTAGCGGTCAAATGCATTAAAAGAAATACATTTTTAGGGTGTGTTTGTGAGTTGGGTTTTGGAGAAGGGAAGGGAGAACAAACTTCTCATTTCTAATAAATATTCTCTATTTTGAATTTTTTTAAAATGAAAGAAACGAAATTATAGATTAACATAAACTTAATGTCATAATCTTTTTGTTTATTTTTGTATATTACTTAACTTAATTTAAAAATAAAAAATGTACTCCCTCTTTCCTTTACCTCCAAAATGCACTTTCAAACATGCTCTTAGTCTTCAAGGTTTGGGTGGCTGTCGGAAGTACTTAAAATGTGGAGCACGAACTCGAATGCTGGTTAAGTAATGTTGGCATCACATTTATTTTAGACAGGGTGCTTAAAATGCTTTCTGTTTTGTCTCTGTGACAGGTTCCAGATGTGAAGCCTCAAACCAATTTTTTCCACAAGACTCGAATGAGGGTATGAATCCTGATGCAGAATTGTTGAATCTTCCCTTGGTAAATGTAGATTATTCAAAAATTGTCAAGTATCCTCTTCATATGATTTACACGGTACTCGTGTTTTTGTCCTTAATACGTTATTCCTTATTTGATTTTTCAAAACGAAAAAAGAAGTAATAAAAGTTATTTTTTTTTTGTTAATTCAATGCCTGTTGTTGAGTGGAAATTTGTTAATGGCTAAAGGTATCCTCTTTTAAGTACCTACCTAAACTGCAAATGGCAAGAGTATGAATTTTTTATATCTTTGAGGAATATGATCTTGTTTCTTAAGGGGGCAGGAAAAGGTTCATGTGATATACTCTACCCATTTGTATGTTCGTGTAGGATGTCATGGTTGAACAAAACTCTGCATGTTCGAAGCTGAGGCTTACTATTCCAAGGGAGCCTGACCTTAGAACAGCACAGAGAGCACATAGGATGAGGTTTGTGATTGTGAATGTGTGATGTTCAGTGAAATTTGGATGATGAATGTTCTTCTTTAAGACAGTAGACATTAAGAAATAAATGCGTTCTGCAGACCTAAAAATGTTGCCGAGGCAGAGCGAGTAACAGTTGCAGCTCCCAGATTCAAAGCTCGCCCATTAAATAGAAAAGTTAGTTCTTGTTTAAGTATAATTTCTTTTGTTTGATTAATTTGGTGCATTGTTCTCATCATCTTCTCTAAATTATGTTCACAATCTAGATTCTTGAGGCTCCTTCATTGCCACCTCCCAAAAGGAGCACTCCACGGTTGCCTGAATTTCACGTAAGCTCGAGTTCTGATATTTAATTTCTCTATTCATCCATATTTATCACCATACTATTATTATAAAAGGAAAAGTACTGAACAAATAGTCAGGAAAATGATTTTGTTTCTACTTATTTATCTTTAAGTTCAGGTTTTCTGTATTTACTTCTCAGGAATTTCACTTGAAAACTTCGGAGAGGGCAATCCAACACACATCTGCTACGTCATCTTCACTTCACTGCTATGATTCTGATAAGGTTAATTTAATCTTTTTCATACAATTTTAAATATTAACAATTATTATGTATTTTTTTATTGTTGATATGCGTTTTGTTTGTTTCATTTTCCTGTTGCACGATAGATATGATTAGCCTGTCTGAAACCAAAGTTATCTGGTTGCAGGGTTGGGATAAACATACTACTGTTTCTTTAGAAAATAGAATCAAGGATTTAAGAAGGTAATAAATTTGATGATAGTGATAATGCTCTTTCAAACTTTGACTGTTCATTAAACAGTTGTACTAACTACAAAATACTCTCTGTCCATAGACCTACCGCAGGAGGTGCACCAACGTATGATGGATTGGGGTTAACACACATTTTTAAAGCTCGGCCACTTAATAAGAAGGTAATGAGACGTCAATAATAAATTTGGATAAGGTATATGATAGTAACTTGCTAGCAAAGAATAAAATGTGAACCACATTTTCTGGTGGCATGGTGAGATATTATTTTAAATTTTTTCATTATGATTTAAAAACTTTTCCATTTGAAATAGTTTATACAATCTATATGCTTCAATGATGAAAATATAACAAAACTTGCACAGACGGTAGTATTTTTACTGCATGAAACAAAGTATTTATCTCCTTCATAGTAGTATAGGGCAACATTAAATCATAGATATCTCATCACCATCAAGCTGTTATATAAAACACAACTCATATTAAAGCCGGGTCTAACTTAAATATCATTTATAAAACGAAGTTTTTCCTGAATTACCTTGACTATGATATACATTTTGGCTTATAGATGCATGTAGCTACTAATACTGACTTCTTTCTCAAACTCTGCGTCTGGGCCTCAGTATTCGTTAAGCTATATAAACATAATTAAGCACGTAATTTGATAATAAATGGAGCACTATTCTTTTACCATCCATTTTAGTTAAGATGAAGCTGCAAGTGAAAAACACCTTCTATAATTTTGCTGGATTCAATAGTATCTTTCCGTTTCAATCCTCGTTCTTCTATATTTTTACTTCAAATTTTCTTTCAAACTCTAATTTAAGCAAGTCTTTAGAAGAAAGGCGATTCTTTTTTTAAAGAGAGTTCAGAATTTACATGACATTGTTTCAGATAGTATCAGGATAACTTTCCAGGGGAAAATTTTGTACACAATCCTAAAGGAAATATAAGTAAAACTGGTGAATGAAACTATTATAAGATAAGTAGATAACTCTATTTAGTTCATCTTATTTTCTTTTCTTTATTATGTATGAGAGCAATCTTAGTTCTGAAAGATGCCCACATAAGTCCGAAGTTCAGATTCTTTTGTTCCCCTGTTGTCTGTAATTTTGTCTTTTAATTTCATCTTTCATTCTTCCAATGTCTGACTACAGATAACTCGAAGTAAAGGGGATGGTGTTTTCCGTAAATGCAGACAGGAAACAACAGTCCCAATGGTATGGCATAGTGCTTATTGATTTTTTCTTCCCATGATATTTTTTTTTCAGAGTAGAAAATTTTAATAATTGCACCTTGCTTCAATTCATACAGAAATTTGATTTACAGTCTGAAAAGGAGGTTCTGCAAGATCCGCCTATTGAACTCTTCAGCAAGGTGATTTTTCTTTTCGTTTTTAATTTATATTCCGGGCTTCTTTTTTTGATTGGTGTGCTTTCTTGAGTTAATTCTCGAGCCTTCCAGAATGTAACTTTGCCACTTGAAATTTCATATGGTTTTGTTGTTAACCATAAGATATTTTTTAACGATTTCAATCTTTCAACTTTCTTGAAATGTTAGCTGTCTCTGACGTCTGAGTGTCAGCCAAATAATGGATCTCATTTCAAACTGCCTCAGCATTCCGGGATGTGTAGAAAGGTTTATCCTCTACATTCCTTTCTTTTTATAGTTTATCCTACAATTTTGAATGGCACGTAAATGTTCTTGGATTACTTTTCGTGTTGGCATTATATTGAGTCATTTGTTTCTTGGTGCAAGGACTCAAGAAAATATATTAAATTCTTTTGGTCCAGACCAAGAGGTAATAATATATTAAGAATGTGTATGAAGAACACGACTTCTGTTAACATTTGCTTTTCTATAAATTTCTAATTTTTAAATATTTGAATGTGATATTTCTATCTTTAGTGATTCACTACTAGTGACAAATTTAATCATCTAGCTGAGCTTAGACACGTCTTGCAGGAGAAGACTTTTATGTTTGGGGCAAATCAAACCTCTCGAGGGAATGGCGGTTGCATCAATCTGATGGGTGAAAGGAGGTATGCGCTGTTGACACCACTCTTCATGTTTAATACGATTGTTAAATCAGAACTCAACTTCAATTGATTGCTTTTATATATATATATATGTGTGTGTTCAACATCGAACTGAAATATTCCAGGAGCTTGGGAATTCGGTGACTATAAACTAGGGAAAAAGTGCAATCTGCTTAGTTATGGGCATCGAACTAGAATTTTTGCTGACATGAGATTGACTGTACATAGTTGAATCTGACCGCGGATGATCGGTGTATATTTTTTTTCTGTACACAGAATCTTACATTTTTTTTTCTAGGTGCACAGCTTGTATCTTCTATAACTTCCGTTGATCATAATTCAAAAAGTATATCATTAAAGGAGAGAGTGTTGCAGTCTCTTAAGCTTGTTTATTTTCGCTTTTCATAACATTCATTCTGGAATGGTATATGTATCTGTTCCGAGTTCGGCCATGCCCAATAGGCTGTTTTGTTAAGCTTCATAGCATCAAAATCTTGGGACTGCCACCTATCTCAGTTTGGAAATGGATCCTCTGCATCAAAATCTTGGAACTGCCACCTTTCACATTTCTTGGTCATTTCTCATTTTGAATTGACTTTTTGAAACCTACCTTTTGTATTTCGAAAAGTTCAGGACGAGAGGTGGCCAAAGACATATATGTAAGAGGTTGGATGAAACTTCCAATAAAGCGTTACTATCTAATCTCAACCTAAAAGGAGCTAATATTTGTTGGTCCTCTATTCGGTAAAGGACCTAAGAGGCCCACCATTTCACATCAATTAATTAGTATATCCGTTGTTAGACTTTGAATATAATTAAATGTGACTAACACAGTTGGCCAATAACTTGGCTTGAAACAAGGAACAGATGCCATGTTCACCATTTGGATTTTCAGACTAAACTACCTTTTAATTTTGCCATTCAGGTCATTGGAATTATACAAGGATTAAAAGTCTTTTCCTCCTAGAAATGGCTGTTACATTCTTATGTCTGTTGTAAATGCTGAAAATTTATTGTCCATTATTAGGAAAGTTGTAATTTCTCTTTTTATTATGTTCTCTACACTCCAATTCCAGTGAGGAGTAGCGGAAATGCTATTTTACTTAATTTTACTTAAATTATTTTAATTTTAATTTTTAAGAAATATTAAAATGTTTTTTTTATCCAGTTATGTTTTGAATATATTAAAAAATAGCATTATTTTTAATTATAATATTCCGTGAAATGACCCCGGAAAAATATATTCGTATTCAAATACGAACAAAGAAATTGTTTATTCTCAATTTCAATAAAAAAGGTTGCTATGGTTGTTAGATATTCTTGCCGTGTTCTCTCGGGATCTTTTAGGAACTGACTGGGTGACTTAAAGACTGTCGACCAATTTATCTGCATCGAAGAGTTCATATGGTTTGATCACTTTCTGTGGAAGGAAAGTTTTAGAGCACTCAATGTTTTTATTATTCCTCTATTTTCTCTTTGCACTCTCGTAATTTTTAACCTCGCCCCCTTCTCTCTCGCACTCAAAATTCCAATGCATGATTTCATTTCCAAATGGCAGGCGCCACAATATCAATGAAAAGTTTACTTGATGCCGTCGGCTGAATCCGCTTTGACCGGACTAGCTTTTTTATTGTATCACCTTATAAATAAGATTGATCAATTTATTTCGGCCACTGGCCAAAGTCTTAAGGAATTATTACAGATAAATATGTACAGCCACAATCCATCAATTCTGACTTCTGAAGGCAGTATTCATACCTAAATTAACATAAAAAAATTGACATAAAATTGTTTTAAAAACAGTGGAAGGATTGAATACAGGTTATTATGAATACAGGTTATTAAAGACATAATAGATGTTTAGTTATTAGAATGAAAACAGTGGAAGGATTGAAGGTTGAAATTGAAGTAATTTCTTTTATTAGATACTCTCTTTCAAATAATATATGTACCGTCCGGTCCTCCCGACACATAGGCCGAGCGAGCGGTTAGTCCAATGCCGCCCACCCAGGTCACAATCAAGACCGAGCGTCCAAACTAACGTCATCCGAGCTTTCATAGACTGTACGATCCTCCAAGGCCGTCCACCCAGGTCACAATCAAGACCGCACGTCCGAGTTAAGACTGACCTATTGGCCAACCGTACATAGAACGAACTGCCCTCCAAGGTCGTCCATCTAGGTCGATCGACATGATCGAGTGTCCATCGTGACCGATCGGCAGAACCGAATGGCTTCCCACCCAGGTTGACATTCTTGGTCGGTCACCCTGCTGACCGGCCGTCACGACCGTCCCTCACTGTGTCGACTACGCGGTTAAATATTAATGACTCATTAAAACCCTTAATGAAGATTAAGGTATGGTTGGGCCGTTTTCAGGCCCATAAAAGGTAAAAGTTCATTACAATCAGTATAAATAAAGGTTTCAGGTATGAGTTCAGGACTAATTGCTTACGATGCAAAATACATATGCATTACATACCACTTGGTCATGTTACTGACTTAAGCGTCGGAGTGCCTTTGACAGGTACACGACCGCCCGGCTTGGAGAGCGAGGAGGGAGAGGACGAATACTACAACCAGGACTTGAAGACGAGAGCCCGTTCGGCCCTTCCAGCCGCGTCCAGCCCTCAGCCAAGAGCTTGTGAGAAGACGTCCGTCCGTCCGATCCGTTGCATGCGATATCATCCGTCCGCCAGTCTTCATCGTTTGTGAGTGTTTTAACAGGGTCCCACCAGATCCGGTTGAAACAATATATATTATCTATTTAAGAAAACACTAATTTATTTGTTCTCAAAAAATGGAAACAGAAGCTTCAAATGTTACAAGTTGACTTTTTTTTTAGTGTTATTATTTATCTAATCGATCTTTATTGGCAACCTTGATTTGTAGTTCATACATAAAAGAACATGTATTGAAAGTGCGGACAAACAGTAACCACTCAAGGAGCCATGTTTCTATTACAATAGAAGCTGAAAAATTTAGTGGAGCAGCTTCCCCCACAACTCTCAATATTAATATACGCCCTCAAATGTCTAGGGTCAGACTGAACCCAAAATCCTAATTGAAGATTTGAAGAAAATGTCTCATCTTCAACGTGTAAAAGTTGACTGAAGATAGTTCAATTATTTCTTTAAATCATTGAATGTACACCTAAGATTTTGTTATTCTCCTAATGCCCATGTATTGAAAATTAGGTAGGTATCAAAGGTGATCAATGTTTAATTATTTGCTATATTGCGTTATATTTAAAAAAAAAAATGATTGTCGCTCTCTAGGCTTATTTATAACGAGAATATCTTATACTTTATATTATTTATCAATAAAATATCATTTCCATGTGGAATATATGATTTTCTGTTGTTTAAGAAACATTGTACTTTGTTTTCTAGAGAAAACGAGAACACGGCCCAAACGATTACGGAAATATATAATATCTATGGGAACCAAAATCTTTTAAATTCAATCTCTTTAAAAACAAATGTTTTGTCCCTACAAATTTAAAATGAAAATGAATTGCACGTCCCACAAATAGGCGAATTGAAACTATGATCACGTGCTGTATTAATTTAATACTTTAGGTAAGAAGTCACATGCCGTCTTGGCGTAAACAAAATCCATTGGTGGCATTATTACACACCTAACATCGACCTAGTACATTAGTCAATTGAAGTCATATATTAATCCCAACACAACTTATGAAGGACAATTTATTAAGCTAAATCTGTAGTGTGATTAGAAACATCCTAGCAATACTTAAATAGCCATTTGACCGTCTTTAAACATGGACATCTCCCTAGCCCTTTGACAAGTTTGGAAATTTAACAAACCAATATCTTAAATATATATATTCAGAAAGACCCAATGCAACTTTCAATCAGATTGACTAAGATGGAGTAACAGCAGCTAGTTTCATACATTAGGCCAAATGGATGCAATGAATGTCATTTTTCAATATTTTAGATGGTTGTTGTTGAAGTGTAACCACATTGAAGCTTAAAGCACAGTTTAGGACATAAGTGATTGGTGGTGGTGAGTATGAAACATGACAGTCTTTTCAGATATGCCACTGTTCACTTAGTTTAGCGGCCACATTACGCATTGACCTAGCAAGCCAAGCAAAACAGAAATTAGCACAATCAGGTGCAATTTAGGCAGGGAAGTGTGGTTGATGTATTTCAATTTGAATGTATGCTGTGCCTGAGATATCACACGAGAGCATAGGGAACCAAACTTAGCTTTTGAACCTATACTTAATCGGAATTACTTACCATAAGAAAGCCAAGAAACATGCTTCCCAACATCAACTCAATTTATACAACTCAATGTGTTCAATTGTACATTTGAACCTGCACAACAATTTCCATACATTTTGAACCAAGCAATACATACAAATCATCTTTATTTCATTCAACTGCTGAAAATGAACTCTAATTACTAATGATTCTTTCTTTAAGCAGAGAAATAATCCTACTCAGATGTTAAAATATTTGTGCTGAAAGAGCATATTAATTTACACTAAACTTGGCCATATCCATCAAGTTGCTGTAAATACTAATAGTCAGACAAGTGGCCATGAAATATAAACTTCCAAAAGGTGCTGATCATTTGAAACTAGCCAGATTATGATTAACATTGACAAGCCTTTACATTAACTAAGCTATCACTGGGACTGGTTTCTGAGTACTCAGTTTACTCCATAAGTACTTTAAGAGTAATTAATAAAGTTGGCACTGGATATATGTGAAAGAAAGAGGAGCAATGGGTGACTGTATACAGAACTGAAATTGGAAGCTTAATTTCATGAATCGCAGAGCAATACAAAAAGAAACTGCAATTCCTTATCAAACAAACACACACAAAAGAACAATATCTGAATCGTTAATATTACTGCATTGACGAATCATCATTATGAAGTTCGGGGTAGGAGGCCAGCTCTGGATGGCCATAAACCGAAAGAGGCAACCATACAAGCTGTTGGTTCTAAGCTCACAATCGAATCTGACAAAGCACCAAATGAGGAAAAGACAAAAGATAAAAAAAAAGAGAGAGAGACTATGTGATTGGCAAAATGCAGCGAGGGAGAATTTTCCTCTCTCACGAAATACACATAAGTTTTCGTTCTTTGAACGTTTTATGTATGTTGGCAAAGGGCACAGAGCGTTTGATATATAAGCTTACACAACAGGTGAGAGAAAATCAGAAACCCAACCCAATCCAAGAACAACAAAAGTAAGCCTTCCCTCTTTCTGTTTCTCCGTCATTCCTATACAGTCCAATTACTGTAATGAACTCCCTCCAATATCCACGGAAATAGAATAAAATCAAAGTAAATCGGTGCAACATAAAATAAAGAAAGAAATACCCGAAGATGCAGGGTCGGTTTATAATGGCTTTATGAAAAGGCACAGGAGAAAAAGAAACGGCTTCGTGCGAATCAATCAATGAGTCGTAACTTTGGACCTCTTCTTTGCTTCGCTGTAAAGCACCACCCCCATGATCGTGATTCCGAACCCCGCCATTCCCATAACCGTCACCGGATTCCTGAAAATCAAAACCGAAACCACCGCCGCCACGGTGGCTTTGGCATTCCCCAACACCTGAAGCGTCAACGCGCTGGTGTGCTTCGTCACCAAAAAGTTGGTCAAGTTGACCAAATAAGCGACGGTGGCATTCCCAAGCAGCAAGAACAAAATAAAGGGTTCTCCCCTGGCTTTCTCCACAGTGTGAGCGAACACATTCCCTTCGATGTAGAGTGTAAACGGTAACAGTATGAAAGCCGCCAAGGGAGCCATGTAGAGAAGCAAGTTCATGGAGTGAAGCTTCTCCGCTTCAGAGGTCAAGAGAATCCCCTGAACCACTGACTTCAAAGCTCGACCAGCAGTTGAACCGACACACACCAAAAACCCGAACAGATGAAACAAAGGCTCGCTATTGCTAGCAACCACGATCCCAAAGACAACGGGCAAAAGCGCCAGGTAAACCTCCGCCGTTTCCTTCTTGCAGGTGATTACGAAGGCGAAGATGGCGGTGAAAAACGGCGTCGTCGCGCCGATGGCTTGGTTGAAGGAGACGGGAAGGTAGCGGAGCGAGGTGTTGCCGCAGACGACGGAGAAACAGAATATGGCGCTGAGGGCGAGGATCTTGAGGAACTGCTTCTTGGAGTGGATGTGTTGGAGGGGAACGATTTCGAGAAAGTTGATGGAGGCGTAGGAGTAGGCGGCACAGGATAGCATGTGGAGCATTGTGAGGAAGATGGGGTAGCGGTAGCCGTAGAAGCTGAGGAGGTACTTGTTCAGGAGGAGGACGCCGATGTTGGATAGGTACCACGACGCAATGATGAGGGCGGTAACCACCGTCGGCGAGAGTCCTCCGCCGTTGGATCCGAAACTGTTACGGTGCTCCCCCGGCGGCGTGGGCGGAATGTCGAGCACCTGCTCCGTACTGTCGAGCCTAGGATTGCTCATTCGACGCGTGGTCCATGTCTGCGCCTCCACCATCGCCGACAGCACGGTCCGCCTTGGGGGATGCTAAGGTTTTGTTTGGTCTGGTTTGGTTTTTGGCGGCCAGATCTGAAGGGAAGCAGAGTAAGGCGATGGTGTTGTTGGGAGGGAAGGTAATATTTGATCGCAGGATGGGGTGGGCGATTTTGGAGCGTTGGATGAAGATTGGAGGGAAGAATAATAAATAATTAAAGAGGGTTTGGTTGAGTGTTGAGGTGGGCCATGGTTGTTTTTGTTTCCCCAAAGATGGATGGCTTACACACCTTACATCCTCCGTTTAGTCTCTCCTCTGCACATGTTGAGGTTCCCTGTCGGTGTTCTATTCTCTAACATCTTGATAACGATAACATCTTCTCTCCTTTTTTTTCTTACTTCTTTCTTCCATTTTTTATTTACATACTATATTCTAATCTAAGATATGCTTCCTTCATTAACAATTATTTCACCTTTTATTCTTCCAATTTTTAGTCCAATTATATTATTTGCATGTTCTTTAGATCTCTCGTTCAAAATTCAGTTATCCCTAAATATTACGACAAACTAAAAATCCTCGTAACTCTAATAATCATCAATTGATTTTCTCTTGATGAAACTAACGATCTAAAGCTTTAGTTTGTTTTAATGGATTTAGAATGTGAATGTAAGATTGTAAGATACGAGATGCGATCTTTGTCCCGTTGATAAAACGGTCTGCTTATGATATTTGAAGATAAGCGTAAGTTAGTGGTTTTTTGTTGTGTGGGCTTAAAACAAAATATAACGCGTCTATTGGTGTTTGGATTTTTTTGAATAAGTTTTAAGCAACACCTTTGACTGCTGCTCTAAATTTCAGGACTCTTTTTACAACGCCATTTACTTTGATTCCGTGACTTTGCACAAAATCCGGGTTTTACCACTATAACAAACCACTCCAACTACAACTTAACGTTTCTAATTACACCTTTCCTTTATGGATCAAGACCTTCAAAAATACATTTACTCATTAAACAATATACTTGCAGCTATTGCTCACGCAAGTTTAATACTTTTATATTAATTATTAAACATTGATGTCACCTGGTAAAAGAAAAATATTCTTATTAGTTTATCATTTTCACAAATTAATAAATTAGTGCTCTCATAAAAATTAACAAATCATTTTTATTTAAATAAATTAAACTTTTGTTCTCATGTCATTGTCTTTAATACGCAACATTGTATTTATTACAGCATTTTTCGCGATACACTTGGCGTATTAACTCTTCAATTGCTTCCGATCATGTCTGAAGAGAATTGATTAATTAATTAATAGGGCAGACAGAGTATGGCAAGGTCAATATTTTAGTTCTGATTTTTTTGGACGCCGTGAATTTTTTCTGAGAGTGAAATGCTAATGCTGCATTCTGACGATCAAAGAATAACCGAATCTGAAAGTTTTCGCATATTTTGTAACTTTCAATGGATTAGTTGCAAGCTTCAAATATTTTACTGCTCATCGTTTAACACAGGGTCTGGTTAAGATTAAAAAAGTAATAATTACTATACTATATATGAAGATTATTTTAGGCTTTTTTTCCTTTTGTCTTTCCCCGAGTTTAGGTTATAATTAGTTATTCTTTTTGGGATTATATTTAGGTCTAAATAAGTACTTCATAATCCTTAATTATGTTCATTGTTGTTATGATAATTAATTATTTGATTGATAAAGGCAAATATGAATATTTTCGTATCACACTCAATTGCTCCCGGAAAGAATTCTATATTTTCTACAACATACCAATTTGGTATTGGAATTGGTGAGATACCTATTAACATCGTAATAAAAGATAATGATAACAGATTTTTTTAAATACTTCGATATAGTATATTTTTTCATTAGGTCTAGAATATGTTACCATAATAACAAATAAATAATAAATTAAAATATGTTACCCTAATAACAAATAAATAATAAATTAAAATATGTTACCCTAATAACAAATAAATAATAAATTAAAATATGTTACCCTAATAACAAATAAATAATAAATTACTAAAAAATTATATTGTAGGGAAAATTGTTAAAAAATTCTATTAAAATAATTTTTTATTTATTTTAAAATTCACATTATTTATGTAGCTAATTGCAAAAAAAATAGAAATAGAGAGATATACGAAGAAAATAATTTTTTGCTGTTGATAATTGGAATATTAAAATATGGCCTAATCAGATTATAATCTATGATACCCGGATGAAGTTGGATCATGTATGTTACCTAGGTTTAGTGGAACTTTTTTTTTAGGCTTAATACCCTATTTTGTCCCCAGTTTCGCTCGAAAATGTCAAATTAGTTCATCCTTTAAAAAATGCGTCAATTACGTCCTCACTTAATAAAATCTGCATCAATGAAATCCCTTCCGTTAAATCCGTACAAACGGCGTTAATTGTTAATTATTTTTCTCTCTTATTAAGTAACGCCGTTTGTACGGATTTAACGGAAGTGATTTCATTGATGCAGATTTTATTAAATGAGGACGTAATTGACGCATTTTTCAAAGGATGAATTAATTTGACATTTTCGAGCGAAACTGGGGACAAAATAGGGTATTAAGCCTTTTTTTTAAATCTAAAGAATATAATAATATTGTTGTTGGAAGTGGTTTTGTACAAGATGAAACGAAGAAAAAATAGGTAAATGTTGATAGTGTTATAAAAAGTCATCCCGAGGACTAAAAAGTAACGGTGTATAAGGAAATAAGAAAAATAAATTTGGAATTGAAATGATCAGATATATTTTCGTTTATGCTTGAAGTTTTATGTAAGATTTAACCTCCATGAAATTCTCATTTTTTCTGGAGTTATGTATATAGAAGTTATGTTAGAAATAACATTTGTCTTTCAAAAATGGAAGAGTTTAAAAAGCTTTTAGCATTGTGGGAAGACATGATCTCAAAAACCGCCCGAGAAAGTGTGACCACACGACTGGAGTAGGACGATGGAAGAAGATGAGGAAGGACCACCAACAACTTCCGTCTTTTACACATCCCAATGGAGGTGTAAGAAGAAAACACAGGGTACAAGAAGAAATTCCCCGGTTCAAGAATTTCCAGATTTGGGCCAGAAAATGCCTCGTTAATGAGCCCAAAAATAACAACCTGGAAGTGATTCAGCGTCTTCTTGGTGAAGCCAACGTGTAAGCTTCGATGGCTACGAATGTTCGCGCTGTATGTGGTGCGCTGAAAAGGTTCAGTCGGCCTCACGCCTCCAATTGGGTTTGGAAGAAGAAAGTTTTCTGCTGCAAGATGTCCACCGAGTCACCTTCCTTGACTCACACCATCACACTGCCTAATAAACCCAATGAACCTGTTCATATTGTTGCTGCTCCCGGCGTCTCCCATTCTGATTTCTGGTCATCGTTTATATTTCCTCTTCTTCTACTGCTTAATTTTGAAAGTGAAAGAAACGTAGATATAATCAAATACGATCCTGTTCATTTACTTTAAAATTTTAATAGAATCTAGAAGGTTTCATTCGGTTAGGTGCTATTTTTTATTGGTTCCCGTGAGAAATAATTGTAAAAGAAGATTGACTTGCATGCAAGTCGTTGTGTTTGAAAGGGGTAACTTGTTTCATTTTGTGTGTCTCGAGTCTGATAACATTAGGTAGCTGGGGTCCTTTAGGATTGTTGTTCACGTTGCCCTCCTTGCAGGAATGCTGTTGAATCATCTTTACTCAAGCAGTGGTTGCATAACTTGCAAACTGACAATGGGATTCTAGCTGATGGCACCATGACTCTGAGACAAGTTCTAGTTCAGGTAATCAAAGATATTTAGCTAAAACTTTTGATGAATGATAATCTTGTTCGTGAAAGAGGTTTTCTCTGCATTACTCTATGGTGTTGGATCTGCATCACATTGGTTTAAAATTTGTGAATATTTCACATTTAAGACGAAGGATTGGAATCTAATAGCGAAACCAAACACAACGTGCATATCTCAGTCGAGAATGCATGACAAGAAACTTAATTGATGTTTTACTCTTTCTTTTGAGGCTTTAACTAGGATTGTAATCCATAGAAGGCAGTCATTCAGAAAATATATTTTTTAAAGCTTTCGTAGACTATCAAGAAGCATATGTGATCTGATATGAGGCTGAGTATGGGTGAAGGGCAATGATCTTGCCTCTGACGGCTGAATTTTGAAGGTCTCCTTCACTTTGGTGATAGATGGAGTAATGAAGGAGGAGGGAGGCATAACGAAACCTCCATGACACATCGACACTCAAAATGAAGGTAACTGGGCAAGTATATGCTCTGATGACCATAATTGGGTTTCCTAGCCTTGCTTTTGTGGAGGAGTTGCAGTGTCCAATTAGAAGTCTTCCTCCTTGACCTACTAAGTCTGGAACATGGCTGTAGTTTCCCCTTAGACAGTGTATCTATACGAGATAATAAATCTAGTGGCCATCTCTTTAAGATTAATTGGGAAGATGGGTTTGGTCCTATTGGATTTTGGTGCTGCTGAGTCTTGGATTGGTAATTTTGCCCTGAACAATATCGTATATTTTATCATCTTAGAATTTGTTACGAGGGAATTTAAATAAAAGGATATTTACATTGTATTCTTCGTTTATTCATGTTTCCTTATAATTAGAAAAAAATCGGTGCAATTATTTTATATAAACAGGGAGTTGACATGTTTGGAAAGCGCATTGGGTTTCTCAAGTTTAAAGCGGACATTTTTGACAAGGAAACGGGGAAAAAGGTATGAGATGGTTTGCATAAAAGCTTTTCAATACACACACACACACACACATTGAATAATAGCACGCACATTGTCTTGACATTGTTTATAAAAATTATTTAAATAAATGCACTACAATATCTGAGGGCAAGCCTTGAAGCAGTCATGAGGTCTTTGATTTGTGAGCTGGAGGATATGGATTCATTCATATCTTGGAAATAGCCTCTCTGCTTCTGTGGGTATAACTCTGTACATATAACATCTCAGCCCCAATTAGGTGCCCTTTTTGTTGTGCTACACCTTGCAATCTCACATAAGTTTGGGCTTTGTGAGATTATCATATGCTTGGAACAGCATTGTACGTTCACACACATCATGTGTTTGAAAATACATGAGGGATTTGACCTGCCTGTAGTAATCTCATGGCCATGTATCAAACACATCCGCTTTAGGGATTTAAGATGATTAAGACCTTGGACTTGCCGACTGTGTTACAAATATTTAACCACTTCTATTATCTATATTTAGTGCTCCAATGCTGATCTCGTTC